GGACTATTGAGACGGCATATAAGCCACTAGAGCACTTTACATTTATTTCCTATGGTGGGAAACTTTTTTCCACTGCCATTGAAGCTTTAGTGACAATATTCTAAACAACAACAACAATATTTATATAGTGCCCTTCATGCAAGGTAACATCTTCGAGTGCTTAAAATGTTTGCTACCAGCCCAGCGTAAATGTTGCCCGCAAAATACACAGTCAATCCATTTATATGCTGTGAAGTACTTTGAAACATCTCAATGATTTGATAAAGCATTACAATGAATGCAAGGATTATTATTATTTATTATACATAGGAGTCCAGTATCTTAGTGGGTAGAATACTTGCAAACGAAAAGACCTGGCAGTAAGTAGGAATCCGCTTGTTAGTTGATTGGCGGATCACTTTTCTAGGGATAATAATCCTTTGAAAAAATATATTTAAAAAAAAGAATTTGGTCACTGCTGTGAGTAATAGGCTGCCGTGTTTCACACACAAAATATACAGTCAATTTACTTTACAGTATATTCTGTGAAGTGCTTTGAGATGTCTCGCATCTCCAAATGCAAGGATTATTATAGGATTATTACAAATGCTGGAATTTATTTATCTCTATTTACTCACGCACAAACCACAGGGACATTACAACGAGGTGTTTTTACATGTGTTACACTATATAAGAACATAAGAATTTTCTAGGCCAAGGTCCATCTAGTTCGCTTTCCATCATCCTGGCAGTCGCTTGACATATCGTGTCTCAAATTATATACAGTATCCTGAGAAATTATTTTCTAGCAGAAATCTATCTAGTTTGTTCTTGAAACAAATGACATTTTCTGCTTCCACTGTACCTTAGCGAGCCTGTTCCATAAGTTTACTACTTGTTCACTGAAGTAGTGTTTCTGCAGATTTGTTCTGAATTTACCGCCCTTCAATTGCAGGTGTGTCCTCTGGTTCTACTGCTCAGTACAAGATAAAACAGCTTATCATGGTCTATATTATCTATTCCCTTCAAAATCTTAAAGACTGTAATCATATCGCCCCTCAACCTTCTCTTCTAGTGTGAACATGCCCAGTTTATCTAATTGCTTGTCATAGTCCAGTCACTCCATCTCCTTGATCGTTTTGGTTCCCCTCCTCTGTATCCTCTCAATCACTGCAATATCCGTTTTACAATTTTGCGGTGACCAGAACTGTCTGTCAATCTCTTCAGTTCCCAAGAATGTTCAGGTCTTCCTGTTCCCTATCCTGTTCACCTTTGCAGTCTACTATTTTCATTAGCTTTGTGTCTTCTGCAAATTTAGCTACTGTGCTTGTGTCTCCCAGCTCCAGATCATTTATGAAGATACTAAACAAAAGAGGTCCCAAAACAGACCCCTGTGGAACTCCACTTGTAACATTCTCCCAGCCCGATGACATTCCCTGTACCACCACCTTCTGGGTTCTATCAGTCAGCCAATTATGAATCCATTGTAAAATACTTCCACTGATTCCCGCTTTCTTTGTTTTCAGTACCAGCCTTTCATGAGAAACTGTATCAAAGACCTTACTAAAATCAGATATACAACATCCACTGCCTTACCCTTGTCAAGCTCCATTATCACACAGTCAAAGAAAACCAGTAATTAGTTTGGCAGGATCTCCCCTTCATATACTCACATTGGCTGTCTTTTATCATTTTATTACTGTCCAGATGCTCCCTAACTTTACCCACAATGGATGTCAAACTCACTAGTGTCAAACTTATTGTACCAATTGGCAATTGGAATTTCAACTCTCAGATCTACTGCTGGAGAATCACATTACTCTATTTTCCTTTGAATTACTCTAATACTCCATGTTCTTTCTTATTCCTCTGGGATTATCAACCAGTCAGTTTGGTACAGTTGCAGGAACTTCATGTCAGCCAGGGTGACATATAGATTGTGAGTTTAAGCTCCATGTCAGAGGGAAAAATGTAGGTTCTACTTGGAGCTGAGCGGCTTCCAAGGTGACTTGCTTGCAATGGGATGTCACAATTGAATCAACCCTCTGTGGTATTTTCAGTAGTCCAGTTCAGAGCCATTATTTCAAGGCACATCAAGGCACTCAGAGCACTGCTGATGATAGCCCAGTCAGCCTGACTCATTGGTACCTGTTGGAGGGGCAGACCAGTCATTGGGAGCAGGGATTTTCACCTCCTGCTAACCCTGCAAGCCAAAATCCTAATGAGTAGGGTTGTCCTAACTGGAAAAGTTTGTAAGACAGTACTCTCAATGTCAACCGATACGCTTTTAGCTGGCTAAACATCAGCAGTACCCCGATCCACTCTGTGATCTCCAAACCTTGGCTCTTGGCAACTTGTAAGTTATACTATCTGGAATTAGGTCAGCAGAGTGGGCTGACTATAGAGAGACACTATATTCCAGTCCAGACACAGGACAATTTCCATGTATAGGTATCATACATATATGGACCTCTCAGTCTGGTTTGGATACTCGTAAGCATGGTGATGGGTTTTCACACGTGACACCTAGCTGACCAAAAAATAGATCACATCATGACTGTTTTTAGGTTCTTGCTGACACAAATGCAATCTTTATGTTTAGAAATACAATCAAGAGAACAGGACAGAAAGGGGATCCTTGTCAGCTCAATGAGTGAGAAGACTGATTCAGTGAAATAATGTGGCAGTTGTCTTTAAGCTGTGACCACATCCAATGGGAACTGGATTGAGAAGCCATTTAGAGGCATTATATTTGAGTTTGAGCTCATTCATAGAAAACCTTACTCTCTAAATGTCACTCAGTAAAGTGGCTGAAACACGTTTCAGTGTTACAGAAAAGCTTGAATTGGTTATCATCTGATTTTTTTTTAGATATGACAATTCCTGTCAAAAACACTGAAACTCAATCTTCTCTGAGTCAAGATGTCTCACAGGGAATTTTAAAAAAAAGTTGCTCAGAGCATATTCACATAAGTCAGAAAGCAGCCTCCCAGTGTCAAATGCAGGGCTGATTTCCAGTCCCAAGGACAGAAATGACATTGTAGGACATCTGGGGTCAAAATCGCTGAGTGTCCAGCACCTTGGAGTGTCCTCCTGACATGAAAGGTGCTATACAAATGTAATTTGTTGTTGATATTCTCAAAGTTTGTGAGATTTCTGTGACAAGATGTCCAGATAGTGGAAAGTGTTGGGATAATGCCCACCCACATGCTGGAATTTTGATATATATTTTCGGAACTTTTCAAGCAAACACTTTTTGTACAGACCTACGCAGCAGTGCAACAACTAAGGAGTATCTGTATTGTTAAGACAGTATTGTGGGTTTATGCTTTTTGGGAAATTCCAGTGGATTGCCTTCCTATATAAATCTTTGCTATTATGCCTATCCACCTGAAGTTCCACCAAGACGTTGCCTGTAAGACCATTTTGTCATAAAATTTAAGATCATGCAATATTATAGAAAATTCTTCAATTCAGACATAATTTGGAAGCTTTATTTAGAAGATCTTTTTCAAGAACTGAGGAAAAACAGCTACCAAATTTAAATTTTAAGACAAATTAGATTTATAGTCTAACATGTAGATCAGGATTGTCCAATACATTAGCCATGAGCCACATGTGGTGAATTGGGAATCCAGATGTAGTAAAATTGCTTTTTTGATTAGTAAATAAACATGAGTAATAGACACCTCATTAACTATGTCATCTCAATACTTCTATTTGCATGGCATGAACTTTTTGTGCTTTTGTTGGTAAAATAGTAAATAAAATAGCAGCAGGTCGTTGTGCGTGCTTTACTTCCTTGGTTACTGCTTATCGGTTATCTGCTAAAATAATGTGTAACACAGATGAAATGCCAGAATTCAGCACCATGGAAACACCATCAATATTGTGTGGGGAGGGGAGCTGTCAATCATGGTCAGCTTGACCAAGCAGAATAACCGTTTCAGGCCAAAAGAAGAAAGCAACGAGCAGCTCCAACACGGCAAAGGGCAAACAGGATCCAACTATGTTCTGGAATGAAAGCGGGGTCGGGTCTGGTGCGAGAGAAGACTACAAAGTTTTATGCTTGAGACGGGTATTGAAGTAGGGGAGGGAGTGAGGTGGAGGGACTGTGGGATGGAATTGCAGAGCGTGGGGGCAGAGTGGCTGAAGGTCCGCCTGATGGTGGGGCGGGTGAGGTGGAGGATATGAAGCAGGCCGGAGCACGTTGAGTGGAGGGAGCGGGCAGGTTGTTAGGGGGTTAGGAGGTCGTAGAGGTAGGGGGTAGCAAGTCCATGGAGGGTTTTAAAGATGAGGACCAGGATTGTGAACTGTATCCTCTGTGTGATGGGAAGCCAGTGAAGTCGGGCGAGGTTGGGGTGATAGGGTCACAGAGCAAGAGAGGTTACGGTTGCAGAGTTCTTGATGATCCCCAGCCTATGGAGGGAGGAGTTGGGGAGGCCGACAAACAAGGAGTTTTCACAGTCAACCCTGGATGTTATGAATGCGTGTATGAGGGTTCTGACGAAGGGTCGTGGACCCGAAATGTTGACTTACTTTCCTTTCTCCATACATGCTGCCTGGCCTGCTGAGTGTTCCCAGTGACTTCTCTTTTTATTCCAGTAATAGCCATGACTGATGAATTTGATTTGGACATTTGTAGGCCAAGACACAGGGAGAAAATCCCTTCTCTTTATGAATAGTCTCATATGATGTTTAATATCCACCTGAACAGGCAGATGTGTTCTTGGTTTAATGTCTCATTTGAGGGGCGGCACTTCCAACAATGCAGCATTCACTGAAGTTTCATTTCAGACTGTGAGCTGAAACTACAACCTTTTTACTCAGAGTGCTACCAACTTAATAAAGTTGACACTTATTTTGAAATCTCGTTAAATATTTGGATTAGATCCCAATACAATAATCTCAATGTAATCACACCAAACAATCATTCATTGTTTCACTAGAGTGCAGTTAATTCTGGAAGATTAAACACCACCGGTGGTTTATGCTAAGTATAAAGAAAGTTTTTCTCATACCTTTCGCTTGGCTCTTAGTTGTTCATGGTAATTATTTGAAGTGTTACCAGGAATTTGTCCGCCCCACAAAGTGATTCCAACAATGGTGTAAGTAATAGCCATCACAACCAATGGCAGAAAGTAGACCAGAACAAAGACAACAATCTGATATCTGGAAACAGAAAGTAATCAAGAAGTCAGAAGGGCAATTATCTTCCAATGTGACTGAAATTTAACAAAGCAGATAGCTGTGAGAAGATGGTGTTTTAAAAAATGTGGGAGACAGCTTTACTTATTTTACTCCTCAGCCTTTGTATTGGACTTGGGGCTGTGGGCTGTGAATTCCATTTGCAATTAACATTAGAAATTTGATTTAAACAATGCAGTCTGCTTAAGAGAAAATCATGTTTTAAAAGCTTTCTCCTGCTCATTTGTCTGGGACCTTCTGTGCTGGATAAATACAAAGGCTGCTTAATGCTAATGTTTTCCAGGCCATATAGAGGAAACTTCGCATCAACAGATTACTGGAGTCCTGTAGCTCAGTGGTTAGAGCACTCGCTTTGCAAGTGAGAGACCCGGGTTCAATTCCAGGCAAAGGGTGAAACCTTGGGCAAGTTTCCTTACTCCACACAGAGCCTAATAATAATACCCCCAAAACCAAAAACAATAATAAATTGGTCATTTTCATTCTACGACTGTTTGTGGGACATTGCTGTGCGCAATTGGCTGCCGCGTTCGCCCACATATATACAGTCAATTCACTTTACAGTGTGTTCTGTGAAGCGCTTTGGGATGTCCTCCTGACATGAAAAGCGCTATATCAAATGCAAGGATTATTATTATTATTACTTGGCGAACTATTATCTTTGCTCAAGTAATCTGTCAATTAATTATTCAAGCAAGTCACTTTAACATCTCATTGTTAAGTCCAAAAAAAAAAGACTGGCTGGAAATGTATTCTTTCATTTTAAATATGACACAAGGATTAAGACTATAGCCCTGCTCAATATGTTCAACATGCTGTTCCATAAAGGAGTTTCCGAATTCTCCGTGCGCTACAACAGAAAAATCATCCAGGAACATAAAACAGCCATTGATAGGTCAAGTCACAATCAAGTGCTAGTTAACATGCTAATTAACTGAGGGGCTCGTCTGTCTGTTCAGATGGACATTAATAATCGTAAGGTACTACTCAAAATGAGAAGGGAGATTCTCCCAGTGTCCTGGGCAACAATGTCTCAGACAAAATTGTTCATTGCATTGCTGTTTGTAGGACAATGCTGTGCACAAGTGGAAGCTTGTATGAAGTACACAGTCACTACACTTTGCACATATCCTGTGAAGCATTTTGTGACGTCCTCCTGACATGAAAGTCACTGTATCAAATAAAAAGATTATTATCATTGAATCATTAAGTCCTGTAAAGCTCTTTGACACATCCTCCTAAACATGAATGGTGCAATATCACATGTAAAAATGATTATTTATTATGGATTTCCCTTGGGCTTTATCACAAATTGTGATCTCATGGAAAGCCACAATTTAGTCCACATACTTCTCACGTAAGCAGAATCCTTTCCAATCAATCTGTGAGCCTCCAAAGCATTTGCTCTTTTACACTGTGACAATTCAAAATACCACCTTGAGAGCCATCAAAATCAATGAGATTCCTTGGGTACCTCTCCTACTCTCCCTGGCTCTGGCTCTCTGGCATCAAGACCCATCACTGTTAAGCACCCCAAGACATCGCCAAGAGGTAGTGTCCCAGGGTGCTTGACAGTGGTGGAGGACAACACCGAGCAGACGGAGGGGGAAGGTGACCGTAGGCAAGGTTGAAGAGGAAGGTCTTAGGATGGGGAAGGAAGGGGCTAGGTGGAGTGATAGAGGAAGAGTGTTCCAGAGTTTCGATGCATAGTGGCTGAAAGCACGGCCACCGATGGTGAAACGGAGGGCATGAGGGATAAGTAGGAGGCCAGAGCCCATCGAGTCGAGGCAGCGGGTAATGGTTGGGGAGTAAGCCAGTCAGAGAAGTAAGGCAGTGCCAGGGTATGAAGGGATTTTCGGTCGGGAGGACATCCCAAGGCTTCTCAAGAATCTGAGGGATAGGCCGAGGAGGTTGAAGAGCTCAGAGTCGCAGGATAGAAGAGGTTAACAGGAGCCAAGGTGTATGGTTTTGTTTTGTCAACGCTTTGTTGCAGGAAGTTTGAGCTTATCCAGGCCCTGATTTCTGCCAGACAAGCTGACAGAACATTGCCGGAGCTGGAGTCGCAGCTGGAGGAGGGGAAGTAGATTTGTGGTCATCCACATACCCGTGGAAGTTGTCTGCGGATGACATCGCCAAGAGGGAGCATGATGATGAGGAAGAAGAGGGGGCCAAGGATTGATGCATGGGGTATGACACAGGTGACCGGGTGGGGGCGGGAGGAGAAACCGTTTGAAGAGACAAGTAAAGGCAGTCTCTTCAACCCTTCACGTGGGTGCTAAATAAGTGCAAGTTGTTTTTGTCAGAGCGCTTAAGAGTAGAGCTTGATGTCGAGCCTAGGAGAGATGGCAAGTGATAGCATAGAATCATAGATTCTTACAGCACAGGAGGAGGCCATTTGTGCCTGTGCTAGCTCTTTGAAAGAGCTACTAAATAATCCCATTCCCCCGCATTTACCCCATAGCCTTGCAAATCTTTTCTTTTTAAGTACCTATCTAATTCCCTTTTGAAAGCTATTACTAATTTGCTTTCACCACCCTTTCAGCCAGTGTTCCAGATCATAACAACTCTATGGGTAAAAAATGTTTTCCTCATCTCCCCTCTGGTTCTTTTGCTAATTATCTTAAATCTCTAAAACAAAAATTCACCATATAACTAGAAGAAAATGACTCTGAAGATTGCCTAAGTGAGGAGAAATGTTTTCACACAGCAAGTTGTTCAGATCTGGAATGCATTGCCTGAAAGGGTGGCAGAAGCTGATTTGATAATAACTTTTAAGAGAGAAGTAGATAATTATTTGGGGAGGACAAGTTTGCAGGGCTATGGGGAGAGCGCGGAGGAATGGGATAGCTCTTTTCAAAGAGCCGGCACAGACACAATGTGCTGAATGGCCTCCTTTTGTGCTGTGTAATTCTATGATTCTATGATTGATTCTATGTCAGCAATTGGTTTTGTCTGAGCATGTGGAGCAGCAGCCAACTGAGAGCTGATATATTTGCATTTGCCTCTCCTTTGCTGCTATTTGTTCAAGTTTCACTATGGAACAGATAAATAACACTATTTTAGTTTGCAGTACATGGCACATAAAAATGTTAGAGAATATCAAGACTTACATAAATTTTTGTTGATGTGGGCCTCTTGGCCAGTCCACAAAGCAGACATTACGTTTTGAAAACTGCCGGATATCTGAGTAAAAACACTGCGGGAAGGCAAGAACAAATGCCAGAAGCCAGATGCTTGCAATGATTACTTTAGTCGCCATGGCTGAAATTCTTGGTTGCAGAGGATGTATAATAGCCATGTACCTTCCACATGAAAAGATAAAAACAGGGTTAGATTCTGCATTTTTTCATATTTAGTACCTTACAATGAGTGTTATCTCCAAGGTGGATGTTAAAGATCTCATGGCACTATTCAAAAAGAGAAGGGAGTTTCTCATGGTGTCCTGACCAACAATCTTCCCAGATAAAATTGGTCAATCACTTCACTTTTATGTTGGACCTTTCCACCCAATTACTCCACATTAGTCACTCCCTCACTTACTTCAATGTCCAAGTCAAGACCTTCCTTTGACCATCCTCACCCAACTGCCAGTTCAGGTGCAAACCTTCAACTGGCCACACATTTGGACATCCTCCCAATGTGAAAAGTACTATATAAATGCATTTTGTTGTTGTTTATAGTAAATCCTGTGAAGGGCTTTGAGATAACCCCTAACATGATAGGTTCTGTATCAAATGTAAGAATTATGTTATTTTTATCCAAAAGTATTTTACTTGGTTTAATTTTTCAATCCCATTTAAAATTTTATGTAATAAATAATAATAATAATTCTTGCATTTGATATAGCGCCTTATCACATAGTTGAGACATCTCAAAGAGCTTCAATGGATATACTGTAAAGTGGAGTGACTGTAGTTTGTGGGTGACCAGTTGTGCAAGCTGTTGTGCACAGCAATGTCCCACAGACTGCCATGACCAACTTTATTTGGGGGATTGTTGGTCAGGACACCAGGAGAAACTCCCTTCTCTTTCCGCTGCCTCAGCTCGGCTGGTTCCGGCCTCCTGTTGTCCCCCTTACCCTCCATTCCACTATCGGGGCCGTGCCTTCAGCCACCACGCCCGAAACTCTGGAACGCTCTTCCTCAATCAATCCCCCTTTCCCCCTCTCTCCCCATCTTCAAATCCCACCTAAAGACCTTCCTTTTTGATTGTGCTTACCTCCCCTCTCCCTCCCCCCCTGGATCGGGGTCAGCCTCCGCCACTGTCAAACGCTCCTGCCACCAGTAACTGGTCTGCCCTTTCAAGCCCTGCCGTTGAGCCAGACTGGCTGTGCTGTCATCAGCAGTGCCTTGGAGTATCAGTATCTGGGACCTGCCTGGCTCAGGAACTGGGCTTTCAAGACCACCAGAGGATTGGTTCAATTCTGACATTCCACTGCCAAAAATGTCATGTTGGAGCAAGTTCAGCCCTAAGGAGACCATGCTTACCGCACCCCTGCGCCCTCCACCTTGCAGAGCTGGTCGGGAACCTAAGTGTTATTTATGGAAACACATTCATATATCCAGATTTTTGTGTTGTTGACTGGCATGCGGTAAGTTAAGCAGCTGCTGTGAAAGCACTTCCACCTATTGGAAATGTCACTCAATGGCAAGGGATATATGCCGAGCTGTGGGCAGGAGGATGGTGGCAATGGTCTCACATATTTCATGCTGATTTGTACTACCCTTCAAAAATCTCTCAGTGGGCTCCTGGTACCTGTTATCTACTAAGTGGGAGCTCAAACTTATGCTTGACAGATGTCAATTGACAACTGGTGAATATCCTCGTGGAGATGGTAAATGGTGTCTCCTTGGGATTGTGCTGGCTCAAAGGGCATGTGCTTAGTATTGAAATTTTGACTTTCTGTGGTGGTCTCAGTAGTCAATTTCCTGAGCCAAGTGGATCAACAATAATCCAAAGTACTGATGATTAAAGACCAGATAGTCTAGCAGTGTCTAGAGAGGCCTGCAAGGCAAAGCTTTAATTGGTACGGCGATCCTAGCTAGACAGGCGACAAGAAGTTTGCCAGAATGGTAAGAAATGCTGTTTTTGCTGATTAAACTTTGGCTGTTGCCTACCTGCACCTCATACACTTAGAAATAGGTAACCAGGGTGGGTCTCCCCAACGAGAGAGTACACATTCCAATTCAGAAACCAGGCAATACATTTCTACATTGTTTTGAAAAGTACGGTGTCTGGCACATGCAGAATCCCATCAGCAGACTGAGAGTTTCAATCTTGAACAGTACCATGGGATCTTCAATGTCCACCTGAACTGGCGGATGGAACCTTATTTTAGCATCTCCTCTGAAGGACAGTTCCTTCAACAATGCAGCCCACAACCTGCATTGTATTGTAGTGTCATGCAGAGCCTAAACTGTAAGTTCAAAGTCCCAAAGTGGGGTTTGAATCCACAACCTATAGGTTTTCTTTACCAGCTGTAGCCCCAAGCTTCAGAGTTCCATGATCTATTCTACTGACATCTGCCTTCAGTGTGTTGGGAGGATCTTTAGAGACCATCTTGTGATGTATCAGCCACCTTGATGTTCTCAAGGTTCAAGTCGAATGCCATGTACCCGGCACAAGTTAATTTAGGGCTTCATGTGAGGGGCTGTGAAGCTAATTCTGCTCAGGAACATGTCAGTTTGGGTGGTGACTTCCCTCCCTACAGCCGCTTCTGATGTTTACCACAAATCCATCTCATGCTTGGTCCTAGACTTCACAAATGGCCTGAGGATAATCCCTTCATTGGATTCCCAGGAATTTGCAATCATAATGGACCATCTGGACAAAAGTTTTATATGCCACAAGCTTAACTCAGTTTGGTGAATAATTCTTGAATTTAATAATCTAACATCAAAATATCCTGAAGTGCTTTACTGGTAATTGCTGTCGGAATTGGTGATTGTATTTGCCACCTTTACAGGACCAAACTGTGCATGGCAAGCTCCCACATCAAGTGCAAACTCAATATATGAGGAGTACTGTTGGTCAGAACATGAGGAGAAACTCATTACTTTTCAAATCGTATGAAATTTTAACTTCCACCTGAACCTCAGGTTAACATTTCATTTGAAAAATTGCAGCTGAACCAGAGGGCACTTATCTTTGTAGCCCAGTTTTGGGAAAAAGTAAAATCACTCATTTGAAATTCTTTAATAAATAGTCCTTTAATTTGTATTTGTATTTAATTCGAATGGCGGGGCAGGCTCGAGGGGCTGAATGGCCTACTCCTGCTCCTAATTCTTATGTTCTTATGTCCTGCTCCACGAGAAAACAAACAAAAACATTGGACTGTCAGATTGTGTGCTCAAGTCCTAACTATGCAGCTTTTTAATTCATGGTTGTTTGTGTGCAAACTAGCTGCCACTTTCACCTACAAAATATAGTCACTACACGTCCTAAAATTACGTGAAGCGCTTTGAGACATCCTCTCAGCATGAAATATATAAAATTGGAGGATTATTATTATAACTTGAGGATTCAACCACACAACCTTCCAGCCCAGAATAATAACAAGTAAAACAGACTAACATCAAATTACAACAACAATAGAGCCCTTCGTGTGGCTAAAGTCGTCAAATAATCCATTTTATTCACCCGATGAGGGCTTCTTTGAGTCATTTCTACTTTATCGTTTGTTCCAATACTTGATTTGAAAGATTTAGCATTTCAATAAATGTACTGTCTGATAGTACAATCATACCCGTGATATACAATCACAGATCTTTAAGTCAGATTGATCAGAGGATTTCTTTTTAAGATCTGGTAAATTTTGAACGATTTAATAAATAGCCCTCTATTTTTTGTGCAATTAATAATTTCATATTGTACAAATTTACTGGTATTTGTGTTTCCCTCAGAAAATATCCAATGTTTTCATTACTTGTTGACTGACATGAAAGGATTTTACATTACATGTACATATTGTCTGCCAGGTTCGCCTACAAAATATGATCATTACATTTTGTACTAAACTCTCTGAAGCGTTTTGAGACGTCTACCTGACCTGAAAGTTATTTTATCAAATACAAGAATAGTTATTTTTAACAGATTGTTCGGGGGGCGGGATGGCCGGAGATCTTGTTGAACTGAAACAATATGTAACTTGGATGCAAAGCTGGGAGCATTAAGGCGAAGCTGAGAGGATTGAGGGGCAGCTGAGAGCATTGAGGGGCAGCTGGGAGGATTGAGGGGCAGGTGGGAGGATTGAGGGGCAGGTGGGAGGATTGAGGGGCAGGTGGGAGGATTGAGGGGCAGGTGGGAGGATTGAGGGGCAGGTGGGAGGATTGAGGGGCAGGTGGGAGGATTGAGGGGCAGGTGGGAGGATTGAGGGGCAGGTGGGAGGATTGAGGGGCAGGTGGGAGGATTGAGGGGCAGGTGGGAGGATTGAGGGGCAGCTGGGAGGATTGAGGGGCAGCTGGGAGGATTGAGGGGCAGCTGGGAGGATTGAGGGGCAGCTGAGAGGATTGAGGGGCAGCTGAGAGGATTGAGGGGCAGCTGAGAGGATTGAGGGGCAGCTGAGAGGATTGAGGGGCAGCTGGGAGGATTGAGGGGCAGCTGAGAGGATTGAGGGGCAGCTGAGAGGATTGAGGGGCAGCTGAGAGGATTGAGGGGCAGCTGGGAGGATTGAGGGAGGGGGGGGGGGGAGGGGGAGGATTGAGGGGCAGGTGGGAGGATTGAGGGGCAGGTGGGAGGATTGAGGGGCAGGTGGGAGGATTGAGGGGCAGCTGAGAGGATTGAGGGGCAGCTGAGAGGATTGAGGGGCAGGTGGGAGGATTGAGGGGCAGGTGGGAGGATTGAGGGGCAGGTGGGAGGATTGAGGGGCAGGTGGGAGGATTGAGGGACAGGTGGGAGGACTGAGGGGCAGGTGGGAGGACTGAGGGGCAGGTGGGAGGATTGAGGGGCAGGTGGGAGGACTGAGGGGCAGGTGGGAGGATTGAGGGGCAGGGGGAGGACTGAGGGCAGGTGGGAGGACTGAGGGGCAGGTGGGGGACTGAGGGGCAGGTGGGAGGATTGAGGGGCAGCTGAGAGGATTGAGGGGCAGGGGGGAGGATTGAGGGGCAGGTGGGAGGATTGAGGGGCAGGGGGAGGATTGAGGGGCAGGGGGAGGACTGAGGGGCAGGGGGGAGGACTGAGGGGCAGGTGGGAGGACTGAGGGGCAGGTGGGAGGACTGAGGGGCAGGTGGGAGGACTGAGGGGCAGGTGGGAGGATTGAGGGCAGCTGAGAGGATTGAGGGGCAGGGGGGAGGATTGAGGGGCAGGTGGGAGGATTGAGGGGCAGGTGGGAGGATTGAGGGCAGGTGGAGGATTGAGGGACAGGTGGAGGACTGAGGGGCAGGTGGGAGGACTGAGGGGCAGGTGGGAGGACTGAGGGGCAGGTGGGAGGATTGAGGGGCAGGTGGAGGGGCAGGTGGGAGGATTGAGGGGCAGCTGAGAGGATTGAGGGGCAGCTGAGAGGATTGAGGGGCAGCTGAGAGGATTGAGGGGCAGCTGAGAGGATTGAGGGGCAGGTGGGAGGATTGAGGGGCAGCTGTGAGGATTGAGGGGCAGCTGAGAGGACTGAGGGGCAGGGGGAGGATTGAGGGGCAGGTGGGAGGACTGAGGGGCAGGGGGAGGACTGAGGGGCAGGGGGGAGGACTGAGGGGCAGGGGGGAGGATTGAGGGGCAGGGGGAGGACTGAGGGGCAGGGGGGAGGATTGAGGGGCAGGGGGGAGGATTGAGGGGCAGGTGGGAGGACTGAGGGGCAGGTGGGAGGACTGAGGGGCAGCTGTGAGGATTGAGGGGCAGCTGAGAGGACTGAGGGGCAGCTGAGAGGATTGAGGGGCAGCTGAGAGGATTGAGGGGCAGGTGGGAGGATTGAGGGGCAGCTGTGAGGATTGAGGGGCAGCTGAGAGGACTGAGGGGCAGGGGGGAGGATTGAGGGGCAGGTGGGAGGACTGAGGGGCAGCTGAGAGGATTGAGGGGCAGCTGAGAGGATTGAGGGGCAGCTGAGAGGATTGAGGGGCAGCTGAGAGGACTGAGGGGCAGGTGGGAGCCTCGGCAGCCCTCACCTGTCCAGCGCGATCGCCGCCATCGAGTAGATACTGACGAAAACAGCGGTGATGGGAAAGAAGTTGTGGAAGCGGCAGTAGCTTTTGCCGAAGTACCAGTCGCCGTGGACCCCGTAGATGAAGTTGACCAAAGTGTTGAAGGCGGCCACGGAGGCGTCGGAGAACGCCAGGTTCAGCAGGAAATAGTTGGTGACCGTCCGCATCCTCTTGTGCGCCAGAATGATCCACATCACCACCAGGTTCCCGAACACCGCCACCAGCACCACCGACCCGTAGGAGACGGACCAGAGCCCGGTCTGCCAGGAGGGTTGGGCGTACCTGTTGGAGCCGCCGGGCGAGGGCAGGCGGCCAGAGCTCTGGTTGTAGGGGTCGCTCTGGTTGCCGCTGCCCGGGGTCCCGCCATCAGCTGCGGGCGACGCGCTCATCTTCGTGGAAGTTCGGGGAAACCCCCCCCCAACGAAACCGCAGAGGGCGAACCGCCAATATAAAAAAAAAACAGGAATGAATAAAAAAAATAAAAAATAAAACGAAACGTAAATCAATAAAACGCAAATCAATAAAACGCAAAGAAATAAAATGCAAATCAATAAAATGCAAAGAAATAAAATGCAAATGAATAAAATGCAAAGGAATAAAATGCAAATGAATAAAATGCAAAGAAATAAAATGCGAATCAATAAAATGCGAATCAATAAATAAAAAAATAAAAACAATAAAATCAAATAAAAATAAAAATAAAAACGAACGACTAAAACGATAAGCTTCCGAGGAGGGGGTGGGTTTTGCGGCTGAACGTGTGGGCGAAGATGTCGATGTTGGCACCGTTCCTGGCGGGGACTCTCGAGCACAGGGACCGCGCGCGGTCTGATCCCGGGAGGTCAGCAAATGCCATCCTTTTAAGAGAGGGATCCAGGAGCGTCAACCCCAGACCAGGACCGCTCCTCACAGAGGATAGGCTCAGCTGGGAACAGCCCACCATCACCATCACCCCCACACACCCTCACACACACCATCACCCTCACACACACCCTCACACACACACCATCACCCTCACACACTCACACACACACACCCTCACACACACCCTCACACACTCACCATCACCCCCACACACACCCTCACACTCACCATCACCCCCCCACACACCCTCACACACACCCTCACACACACACCATCACCCTCACACACACCCTCACACACTCACCCCCACCACACACACTCACCATCACCCCCCCACACACCCTCACACGCACCCTCACACACTCACCATCACCATCACCCCCACACACACCCTCACACACCATCACCCCCTCACACACACCCTCACACACTCATCATCACACCCTCACACACACACACCCTCACACACACACACCCTCACACACACCATCACACACACCCTCACACACACCATCACACCCTCACACATACACCATCACAGATCCCCACACACCCTCACACACACACACACCATCACCCCCACACACACACCCTCACACACACACACACACACTCACACACACCCTCACACACACCCTCACACACACACCATCACCCCCACACACACCCTCACACACACACACACCATCACCCCCTCACACACTCACACACACACACCCTCACACACACCCTCACACACACCCTCACACACACACCATCACACCCTCACACACACCCTCACACACACCCTCACACACACACCATCACACCCCCACACACCCTCACACACACCCTCACACACTCACCATCACCATCACCCCCACACACACCCTCACACACACCATCACACCCTCACACACACCCTCACACACACACACCATCACCCCCTCACACACACCCTCACACACTCACCATCACCATCACCCCCACACACACCCTCACACACACCATCACCCCCTCACACACACCCTCACACACTCACCATCACCATCACCCCCACACACACCCTCACACACACCATCACCCCTCACACACACCCTCACACACCACACCATCACCCCCCACACACACCCTCACACCCCCACCATCACCATCACCCCCACACACACCCTCACACACACCATCACACCCTCACACACACCCTCACACACACACACCATCACCCCCTCACACACACCCTCACACACACACACCATCACCCCCTCACACACACCCTCACACACTTACCATCACACCCTCACACACACACACCCTCACACACACACACCCTCACACACACCCTCACACACACCCTCACACACACCATCACACCCTCACACATTCACCATCACACCCTCACACACCCTCACACACACACACACCATCACCCCCTCACACACTCACACACACACACCATCACCCCCTCACACACACCCTCACACACACCATCACACCCTCACACACTCACCATCACACCCTCACACACCATCACACCCCCTCACACACACTCACCATCACACACACACACACACACCCTCACACACACATACACACTCACACACACACCCTCACACACACCCTCACACACAGTCACACCCTCACTCACACACACAAACAAACACCCTCACACACACCCTCACCCACCCTCACACCCTCACACCCCCCCACACACCCTCACACACCCTCACCCTCACACACACACTCACCCTCACCCACACCCTCACTCACCCCACACCCTCACCCACACCCTCACCCAAGCCCACACCCTAACCCACACAGTCAGCCTCACTCACACCCTCACCCACACCCTCACTCACACCCTCACCCTCACCCACACCCTCACTCACCCCACACCCTCACCCTCACTCACACCCTCACTCACACCCTCTAACACACCCACACTCACACCCTCACCCTCACCCACACCCTCACGCACACCCTCACCCACACCCTCACCCACACTCACACCCTCAATCACACCCTCAGCCACACCCTCACCCTCAATCACACCCACACCCTCACCCTCACCCACACCTCACACACCCTCACACACACCCACACCCTCACCCACACCTTCACTCACCGGACACCCTCACCCACACCCTCACTCTCACACTCACCCCTCACCCACACCCTCAGCCTCACTCACACCCTCAGCCTCTGCCTGACTGACTTCTGCTGAAACCAACAGCTGAAGTGCAAGTGAGACTGAGATGTTGGGAGCCCTCAAATGCCCCGTCTCCACAGGCAGGTCAGTCAGTGCCACCGCCACCAGCAAACAGCAGCGCACTGGGGATGAGCTGCATGTCCAGCCAGAGCTGTTCCTGGGGATCTCAGTCTTTCGAAATCTTCCTTTATATCCGAATGTAACCCGAGGTTGCAGAACCCCAGCACAGAGCCTCGCCAGTGCGGGTCGGTGTATTTCAAACAGAGATTCAAACAAGTAAACGGTTCCCTCCTTAATATAAAGGTGCCTTTGGTTGGAAATCAAAGGAATGCCTGAACTTGCAATAAGCTCTTGTAAGCAGAGTTGATCCCAAATCCTCATTGTTTCTCACTCATTGGGAATATAATAATAATAATAATCCTTGCATTTGAAATAGCGCTTTTCACATCTTGTTAGACGTCTCAAAGCGCTTCACAGAATATACTGTAAAGTGAATTGACTGTATTGTATATTTGTGGGCGAAACGCGGCAGCCAATTGCGCACAGCAGTGTCCCACAACAGTCGTGGATGGAAGTGACCAATTTATTATTGTTTTGTTTTGGAGGGATTATTATCAGGCATGTGGAGTAAGGAAACTTGCCCAAGGTTTCACCCTGCCTGGAATTAAACCCAGGTGTCTCGCTTGCAAGGCGAGTGCTCTAACCACTGAGCTACAGGACTCCACATGTCAACATTTCAGTTCCACGATCAGAACGCGGACATTAAGTTGTCATTTAGTTTTTAAAAAAATATATTTTTGTGATGTATGATATTCAACAAAAACGTGCGGAAAAAAACAGTGCGTATTTTAAGCAGTATTGGGCGTACCTAAACTGTGCATTTTAAGCAGTATTGATTCTCTGCACAGAAAAGATCAATGGAGCCATTCGCTACAGATTGTAAATACTGGAATTCAGCAAAACTGCAGATGTTCATATCTAGTTTGCATATCCCCGCAGCAAGTCCAAGGCCGTTGTTATTCATTCCAGACACAGAACTGTTGCTTTTTTTTATTTATTTAGGCACATTTATAAAGTAGATTAGCATCTCTATCCTCAAGCCATCAATGCTCTTTAGCAGGAATTTAGAGTTAAATGATGAATTCAGCCGACAACTGAATTGCAGTCTGGCGCCCACCCGCACACACTGGCCAGATTCCATGAAAAGTTAAATCTTTAATCGCAGATGTGCACGGTGTGGGCTTCAAAACATCAAGACACTCAGAAACTGATGCGCATCATAACATAAACCTCAAAACTGCGAGGCTTCTGCTAAATCTGGGAGCACGACTGAGCTTTGTTGATTTGCCTCAGAGTGCAGCACAGTGAATGAACAGCGTGAGCGCACAGTGAACTACTCTAGATCCAATCGCAGGTTTTGCAAATGAATGGGACTCTTTCTCAGAGCCAGCACAGATACAATGAGCTGAGTGGCCTCCTGTGCTATACATTTCTATGGTTCTATGGTACTATATAACAAAACAATGCTGTTGGCACCATGGAAATGTCACCTGTAAAAATATCAGAGTTCAATAGTGAACAGATATCTAGACATTTTGTAAGAAACACATTTTACAGTTTTGTCTCTTGTGAGGTTTTTATGGTCCTTCAAGAGATTAAATAGGGAAGGTGTAGGACCCTGTCATTTATGTACCTAATTCCCGTCTGTGTTTAGTTTTCTGGTGTCAGTGGAGACTGCTTGTGAAGACTTAATTGGTCTTGGCTTAGGTTTGGGAAGTGAAAACTAGCCAAGGTTCCTTAATAATATAATAATAATAATAATCCTTGCATTTGGGGGAAGAGTTCAGGCTTGACTGCGAGTTAAGTGGTGTGCCGAAAATCACATGAATGATACCTTTCATTAAAAAAATGATAGAAACCACAATCTGGTTAGGTGTACATGATTTGAGTTAAGAGAGAATAAAATTGAGGAATATGGGGAAAAGTTTAGATAAGGGATTAGGGATAGTCACTTGTGTGGAGTACAATTTGGACTGGATGGATCAAGTGGCCTGTTTCTGAGCTGTATCATCTATGAATCTTTACTGAATAGATTCTTGTCCTAACATCTTCACAGTTTTAACTCTCAGCAAACCCAGCTTGCAACCTTCAGCTTTAAGTCCACTTTGCTTTATTCCTCTGAATTCCCTAGCAATGGGGGTACAACGTACT